TTTACGACCAGCCGGAGCTTTTATCCGCTGACGGCACACGGATGTGAATTGAGCGAGCGGCACGCCTGCTGGAGGACATGCCGTGCGGTCAGGGGTCAGAGGTCAGGGGCATAAACCTAAACCAATGATGACGACAGCACACACCACGGGTTATGCTAACTTTTCAAATACCAGAAACACAAGTATGCAAAAACACAGACGCAAAAAATTATTTGAGAGAAAAAAAAATCGAAATGCGATTCGAAAAAAACATTATCGTTATTATTATTGTCATTACAATTATCATTATTACTAAATAAAAATATTAAACGAAATAAGAAACAATATTGTACAAAATTTCACAGTAAAATAATTTATTTTTTATTATTATTATTAATAATATTACATAAAAAGTAAAAAAAACATTTCTATTGTAACATTTTACTAAAAAATTAAAAATGAGTATTTAAGAATAACAATAATCATTTTATTTGACAGAACAGCTGCAAAAGTACAATACTAATATTTAACATTTATTTACTAATATTTAATCTTGCAGCTTTAAAACGGTTCACACCACAGCGCCTCTTCTGGTAATTATCTGAACTACAAACTAGAGCTTGCGTAGCTACAAGCGTTAGCGTTCACGTTCTTGTGCAGAGTTCGTTTCAGGCCCGACGAAATGATTGCACACAACTGGCAGACAGTTTTGGATTCGTCAAGCAAAATACCAACTAAACAAACAAACCCAGAGGCAACTTCTCTGATGTGTGGATGTCAGTTACGCCTCTATAAATATGGCCTTTTTCCTCAAGCATCGCTATCATTACAACAATCTCACACGCACTCGACCGAGCGACACATAGACGGACAGACTGACGGACAGAAATGTTTGGCAGCTTCTTTGTTTGGAAGTCAATAAAGGAAACTGGCAATTAGAGCCATCACATAACACACAAACACACAGAGTCAGGAAAAGCTGCAACGCAGGGGAAATACTTCACGTCGTATCCTCCATTGTGCACTAATACGTGGATCAGACGCCACAGGTTGTGTACTGTACGCTCGCTGTGGGTGTGTCGGGCCAAAGGAAATGGTTTATGACATCATGTTGATTATGAGGTCAAAGGTCAGCAGTTTAACTCTCTCCACCAATAAAAAGCCACGGCGGTCTTGCCTAAATCTAGTGTCACAACTATGATTTTATGAGTGTTGATACAGTGGTCATCGGAATAACTAGCACCATTGTTCTGAATTCAGGATGTTAAGAATTGCCGTGGGAACCAAATCTCTGCGATTGTGTGTGTGTGTGTGCACAACTTTACACCAGGAGTTTTCAATCTTTTAGATTGCACAGACCACCAAATATGATTTGGAAAATAATTTGCTTCTATTAAGCTACATTATTATGTTGTTTTTCTACACTGTACAGTACTGTACAGTTTCATCGTATTTATTTACTTATTTTAAGCAGGTTTTTATTCATTTATATATTTTAATCATGTTTAAAATTGTATTTACATTTTTATTTATTTATTCTGATCTTTATTTATTCTAACCTACGTTTTGTTTATTGCATTTTATTTTTAGTTATTTATTTTAATCTAATTTGTATTTACTTATTTTATTCTAATTTTTTAAATTTTAATCCAATTTTATATATTTATTTTAATCTAATTTATACTCACTTTAACCACATTTTTTATTTATTTTATTCTATTTTTTATTTATTTACTTAATCCAATCTTATTTATTTATTATTTATTTATCTTATTCTATTTATTTATTCAAACCATATTTCTATGTATTTTATTCTATTGTTATTTATTTATTTACTTATTTTTCTTCAAATTTTCATTCATTTTATTCCTATTTTTATTTATTTTAGCCTAATTTTCATTTACTTATTTTAATCATATTTTTATTCATTGTTATATTTTTTAATTATTTTAATCATATTTGTTATTTAATTACTTTTACGCTTTTACCCTATTTTTCTCTAAACTCTTCCATGTACCCACCAGCACTCCCTTTCAGACCCCAGTTTAGACGACCAGTCGAGCCTGTTGAGCGGAGATGCCCGTGTTGTTGTTTTATTCTTGTTTAGACGGTAAATAATTATAATGTGATGTTCAATTGTTCATTGCAATCGAGCTGCCGGTCGGACCGGAGACGCCGAAGACTTTCTGAATGAATGGATCACGTGTGTGCGTGAGAAAACATGCCATCTGTCTGTGTTTAGTTAAGCGATTAGATTGCGGTTTAAGAAAATGTTTGTGTCTGAGGTGTCTGGATCCTGAGGGCGTTTGTACGGACTTTCTTCTTCTGTGTTCCTCTCCTAACCTTGATTTGAAAGGGATGAAGAGCTGAAGTCAAATTTCAAGCTTGATGGAAGAGGAAGTGGCCGGTAACGACCGAAAAGCACTACAAAGTGTTCACAGTTCAAAACATGTCGTCAAAGTCGCTCTGGAACGTTCAAGTAGCTGCTTTGTGTCATTTTCTCGTAATGTTTTCTTTCCGCTCGGCGGAGGCGCCCGGGAGGCCCTACCCAAGACTCAAGGCTTTTACCTCCGAGGCATGATGTCATTTCCTGTGCTGCCCTTTCCTCCTTGGAATAAATACAATAATTATATATATATATATATATATATATATATAAATAATAAAATAACACTGCATGCAACAAAAACAGTGGCTAATGGCCGATATAATGCAGAAATGTAAATAATTTTATTAAAATATAAACAAATATTGAAATAAAGCATACAAATAAACAAAAATAGCACAGACATGTAAAACAGAAACATGAACAACTGTAAGTTTTTATATGAACTAACATTACCGAAGATTAATAAATGCTGTAAAAATATATAGGCCTATTGCTTATTGTTAGTTAACGTTAAATAATGCATTAACTAATGTTAACAAATGAAGCCTTATTGTAAAGAAACCCTTTATCTGTCTGTCAGCACAGGAAGTCTCTCTGTCATATTAAGGTTAACTCTTAATTCAGACTAACCAGGACAAACAGCGCTCAGACTCTCATCCAATAATCCCAAACACACACTCATATACACCATTTAAGTTCAAGCGTGTTACGTAGCGTCTCCAGATCTCTCTACCTGCCTCTCTCTCTGTCCGTCTCATCACAGCGAGTGAATTAGAAGGTCAGGGAGACGCTTTCATTGGGAGTGTGTTTCCTGTGTGTCCGACTTTTCTTTCCTCTGCCTCAAACCTTTCCTCCTCCCCCTCGTCCCTCCTGCCCTCTCTGAGCTCCATTCACACGTTTCAGCAGGAAAAACACACCTCTGAACGAAAGCAGGACGCAATCACAGTCAAAAATGTAAATGGAGTCGGGAGGAGGCTTTTGTTTGGGACTGAAGCGCTCAATCTTTCATCCCACACACACACACACAAACAAGAAACATAAAACAAATGCCGGTGGAGGCCAGTGAAAGGGAGCAGCACACACACACACACACACACACACACAGAGTGCTGTACTTTAACATGTGTTTGTGTAAAGCTTCCATCATTTAGCCGCTCTTATCTGAAAACCCATCTAAAGACCCTTCACTCACACACACACACACACACACACACTCTGCCCAGCGCTGAATTAAACACCATCATAAAAACTCTTTAAAGTCGCTGTAATGAGAACCATCTGTATGCAGGAACCCGGCCTAGACCAAACTAACCCCTCTCTCACTCGCTCAGGGTCCCTCGTAAAGCCAATCGCCGCTGTTTGTGCACATTCAGAGCTCAGGACGGGACAATCGACCAGGTTTGGTCTACTAAAGGAGAGCAGATCATAAACAATCTAATAAAATAAAATAAACATCATTCTCACACACACACACACACACACACACACAATTTACCCATGTTTACAGTGTAAAGTCAACATGAAACCAGTGTTGGTATTAACTAAAATGAAACTATTAAAACTAGTTTCATCAAGTGAAATAATATAAAATATAAATATTAGATTAAAAACTTGGAAACTAACTGAAATAAGTTAACATGAAATAAGTGTTGTTATTGTTAACTTAATGTAAAAGTTTTAAAAATCCTTTTTGTTCATTGAAATAAAGCCAAAATAAAATAAAATAGTAGATGAAAATCCTAAACGAAAAAAGAAATGTCGCCGTGGCTACTAACTGAACTAAAATAAGTTGAAGTACTAAAATTATTTAAAAAATTAAATAATTAAAGCTAAGTATTAAAAAAAAAAAGCATACACTAAATGACAAAATGACAAACTCAAAGTATTAAAAAAATTGCCAAGGCAACATTTTTTATTAATTACATTAATATAAATGACAAAAAAAAAAAATTCTTAGAAAATTAACAATTGACAATTAACTGAAATTAAATTTGTTTAACTTGAAGTACTAAAATTAAAAATAATAATAAAAAAATATTACAAAAACTAATAAAAATGAAAAAGCACATTCTAAAACTTAAACTAAAATTAAAAAGGAAAACAAAAAATATTTAGAATTAGCGTTTATTTATTATAAAATATAACAGAATATAAATAATACTAAACTAACTTTTCTGTACTGCGATGTGTTTCCAATCAAACCAATTGAATTGATTTTGATTGGTAAAGCAATGCCTACATAGCTAGTTGACTAGTACTAGTTAACATCATCCAATAGACTGCATGGCCTTGCAGACATCAGTGGATCAGGAAAGTATTTTTAGGTGCAGAAGTTTTGATGAAAGATTACAAAGACAAACACCTGTTCTTTGGAGCAATGTGCATGATAAGACCTGAATGTGCATTAAGGAAGTAAATATGGTCCATTTTGATTTCATGTTGACTTTAGCACTCGTTTCTGTGGTGTTTGCTACCTTTAGAAGACAATATAAGACGACACTCAATCAAAACAAATCTCCAACTCTCTCTCCTCCAGCTCCTCATTTTCGGCTACATACATTTGGATTCAATAAATCAGCACAGATGGGTTCAAAGACCCTCAAAACAGGTGAGGACGGTCTTGAGCGCTTACCTGAGAACCCCATAGGGGCCGAATACAGCAGCAGCTTCAAACACGTGATGACGATCCATTTTCCAGGGAGCAAAGAAATGATGGTGTTGTAAAACAGATGCTTTGAAGCTGTCCATCACGGACCATTCAATCCATCACAGGCGCAAGTTTCACCCAATAAAACCTTCAGAGATCCAAACGGCTTTCGACGAGTCGAGCGTGTAAACGGATCCCGTGACGTGGCTAACATGACAACCACAATCTCTGCCGCACGCAAAAGCACTTGCAAGTCAACCAAACCCTAGCTAACGACAGTTCAGTAGTTCTAGACGAAACTTTGCTTTCTTTGTCATTACAAGCGTGAACGTTTGTGTCGAAGAGCTTGAAGCGATTGATGTGCAAATTCGCTTGCATCAACGGTCGTTTCGTCGCACCGCGCCGTCAATAATGTATGAGAGTCGCCCTAAACCACTGACAGACGGTCTGCCTCATCCTGATGTTATCAACGAGATGCATGCACCCTCACACACACACACACACACACAAATGACGAATAACTTCCTCCCAGCGCTCAGTGTCACTCTCTCTTTCAGTCGGAGAATATCGCCCGTCTTCTATTGTTCTCTGTCTCACGTCCAAGAGCCGAACGCAGCTAATGGAAGTGTGTGTGTGTGTGTGTGTGTGTGTGTGTGTGTCCTCACAGGAAATGTCCTCCCCAAACTGGCTTTCCTGTCCTCCACCGCGGCGCCTTTTCTCGTTCACATTCTTGCTTTCTCTCTCAGTTGCTCCGAAACCCCAAACTGATTCATAAAAGAAGAATGACTCAAAGAGCGAGAGCCAATGTCAGTCAGCGTAGAGTCGTTCCCACACACACACACACACACACACAACTATAAACATTATCAAGACGCACAAATTCGGGCTAAAAGAAACGATTTCGAAACAGGCACTCGTCGAAGCTGGGCTGAATTTCTCAATGCGTAAGTGATACTGTTTAACTGAGCAGTTTTGGCTGGGATTGAGAAGGATCTTTACGGGGCGATCGGCAGGAAACCTCATTCGGGACACTGCCAAACACAACACGCTTATCTGAAGCGAATACACAGGACATACTCAAGAGCCATACGGCATTATGGGTAGAGAGAGAGCAAGCGCTCAGAGGAAAGACGCAAAGCAACACTCCCAAAACCTCAGATTAATTCGGCAGATAAATCAGCTCTCTCAGTTTTTCCTTTATGTGATCCGCGTTTCCGAAGTCACTCGCAAGCATTCAGACGACTGGCATCATTCGGACCAAACAACATCATAACATCTATTACACAAAGAATCATTACCATATTCATATACTGTGCTACTTATGCATTTACTCCAATTACTAGCACGTTGGAGTTAAAAGCATCTTAGAGAAGTGGTATTAATCATTCAGTACTCTGGTAAAAACACTAAAGTAAATATGAAATCATGCCACAAAATTATTATTATCTTCATATACCACATTATTACCATGGTACAATGTCTAAACAACCTACCAAACTTATTAAGCTTTACAAAACAGTATCATTACATGTAGCATTGTACTAGATGATTACCATATTCATGTACCATGGTATTAATGTGGTAAAAATACCATGAAATTACCATTGTAAATGTCCAAAACCTTCATTGCATGCAATTTTGAACTCAAACAAAACTTTTTGAAGACTCCACATCAGCTTGAAATTAAGATGAAATTTAAACATACCAAGTGATTTAAGAAAATTGGTGGGATGGTATTTAAATGGTCAGAATACCATGGTATTACTATAGTAAATGTCCAAAAATTTACATTGCAAGCAATTTTTTAAATCAAACAAAACTTTTTAAAGACTCCACATCAGCTTAAATTTAAGATAAAACTGAAACATATGAGGTGGTTTAAGAACATTTGTGGGATGGTATTTAATTGTTAAGAACACCATGGTATTACCATAGTAAACATGCATAAAAAATTAATTGCAAGCCATTTTTAACTTTTTTAAGGTTCCAAATCTGTTTAAATTTAAGATGAAACTTCAACTTTTAATCTGGTTTAAGAAAGATCAGTGGGATGGTATTTAAATGGTGAGAATACCATGGTATTACCATAGTAAATGCGCAAAAAACTTGCATTGCAAACAACTTCAAACTTTTGAAAGACTCCATATCTGCTTAAATTTGAGATGAAACTTCAACTTACCAGGTGGTTTAAGAAAATCGGTGGGGTATCTTGAGTACGGGGGTGGGGGGGATTCTGGAGGAGAAGAAAGAGAGAGAGAGAGGCCGTGAGTGGAGATGTGGGCTGATGATAAGTCCTGGCATTCTCTGGGAAAAGTGTTTGTGTAGTGCTGAGGGTTACAGGCAGGACAGCTCTGATAAACACACGGCCGCCTGGCGCCAGACTCCACACACACACACACACACACACACTGATCACTGCAAACTAACTTCACTGAACGCTGGGGCCTCCGGCGGGTTTCACATGAACAACCACAGACTGGAGGTCCAGCTGAATAGTCTGTTGCCTTAATCCACATGAAAACACAACATTCATCACTGTATAAGAATAATAATTATAATCAGTAGCTCATACCAAGACACTTATTTGATGAAACAGTTGGTTAAGCTACTGAAAAACTACCAAACAGACCACACATGATGAATGTATGAATGTGTATTATTTGTCAAATATATAACTTTATACATAAGTTTACACTAGAGGTTATATATTTAACAGAATAAAGAGCGAATTCTTGACAAACCCTTGATGACCATTTTAATGCTACTAAATATATATTATTTATTACTATCTTTTATGGGTTTTTTTCTCTATTCCATTCTATTCTATTTTGATCTTCTGCATATAAAATCCCAAATAATGTTTAGTTGAAACATTTTCTCTGTTCTATATTATCTTACTAAACACACACACACACATAAACATGCTATGTGTTATTATAGTACTGTATAAGCACTATATGAAACATTTACAACAGCCAGAATCATCAGCCAATCTAGCTTCAACAGCATTTCTAAAGCCAAAAGCCAACAGCATCACAGTCGTCATGGTGATGCCCCAGTCATGGAGAAGTGGGCGGGATCTGCTGATTGACCCAGACAGGTGACCTGCTGTCTGCCAGGAAATACCCAGACACACTGACATTTATACACAGATGTAAGTAATGCATTACAAAACATATAATAAAAAAAACCACACAAAAAAATAATTTACGAGGCAGCAGAACAGTCTTGTTATCATTAACTAAAACTATATTAAAACATTTCTGTTATTGAAATAAATATGAAAAATAGAAAATATAAATATTACCTGAAAATTTTAACTAAATGAAAATGTTAAAACTAACTGAAATCAGTTCAATTACTCAAATTAGAAACTGAAATAAAATGAATAAAATAATAAAAAAAAATATATATATTAAAAATATTTTTAAAAGGAAAAAAGACAAAACGGCACATAAAAATAATAAAAACAAACTAAAATAAAAAAAAGCTATTTCAAAAATTTTAATAAAAACTATCATAGTACATAAATAATAATAAAATAACACAGTGGACAAAAATGTGAAATTTGTACATAACAGAACCTGTGAAAATGAAACATTTTCGTCCAATTCAGCTCTGATCTCTGTTTGTAAACAAACAAATCAATAATTAAAAATGAGAAATTATTAAACAGAACTCATCCTCATGCATATCATATTTAATCAACATATAATGGACCTAAAAGTTTTTTAGTACTCGCTTAGCCTTGAGTTAAGGCCACTTTCAAAGCAGTAATTTACTCAATGATAATATTGTTTATATGGAATACCAAATAGATATTTGGAAGAATCTTTGCACATCATACACGCAAAACAAACACACCCTGAGCACAACAGACTGTGACGACACGCCGTTTGGCCGCTGTCTGCTGGAAATACAATACCCACAATCCCACAGTGCTTTCATTCACCTGAATGACAAGAGTCGGGAATAGAGAAGGTGACCTCACAGGTGAGAAGACAGACACTGCGGCAAAACCTCCACCATCTGCTGCTCGCGCTGAAAGACAAACACCGCACACACACACACACGCGCACACACACGTCTCCAAATACAGGCATCAGCTCAATGCTGAATGTTCTGCATTATATGATTATACCAAGGTTATTATAGCTGACTAAAAGTAAAACCATAAAAAAAAAAGTTAAGAAATAAAAAATCTGCTAATTTTATTTAAGCTAGTTACCAAGGCAACATTTGATACACTAAAACAACAACAACAAAAATTAAGCATTTAAAAAAAATCTATAACATCCAGAAAAAAATAAAAAATAAAATTGCTAAAACTTTAAAATTAAAATGAAAACAGAAAATGTAAAAAAAAACATATGTCCATCCATCCAAAAAACATTTTCATTACCTGAAATAAAATAAATGTTTAACTGAAATAAAATATACTAATTTTAAGCTACTTTCCAAGGCAACATTTGATATACTAAAATAACTAACTAAAACAAACTAAAATTAAAATGTATAAAAATAGATTTTTAAGAAAATCAATAACTAATAAAAATAAAATAAAAAACCACAACTAAATTACCAAAACTTTCACATTTCAAATTTTAATTTAAAATTAAAACAGAAAATATCTAAATAAATACCTATATATTTATCTAAAAACATTTTTGTTACTTGAAATAAACAAACATTAACTGAAATAGCAACATTTGATATACTAAAATAAGTTAAAAAAAAACAACTAAAACAAACTAAAATAAAAATGAAAATAGATTAAAAAATTTAAAAAAAAAAATTACATTACAAAAGCAACTAAATGACTTCAATTAAACTAAAAACGAAAATATAAAAATACAAATGAATTAAAAATAAAAACTCTAATAGTATATTAATACTAATACTTAACTAATAGTCAATGATACTAAAATAACACTGGTGAAAACATGACAACAATGAATAGAAAAGGACAAATATAATAAATAACCACAAAAATACAATTACAATGAGCATAACTAGAGGTTTACACATTTAGCACTAATAATCGTGCTGTTTGTGAGTTGAGAAGCGGAACATAATGCAGGTATAATGTGGTGAACCGTGAAGCTGTGACGGTATGAACGGAGCTTTGACAAACACACAGCGTCTCTGATGGAAACTCTCGCTCTCTGTTGAATCCATTCATTCCGTGTCATTTTAGATTAGACTAACTAATCAACAGATTGACCAAACACTCACAAACCAGCACTTTTGTTCATGTTGCGTTGACTTTATACTGACGCTCGCAGATGAAGCATCACAAAAGGTTTCAGTTACTGACGCCTTTGTAGAAACGCTTGATTTCACAAGCGTATTTGACTCCCATGATTCATTTATTCTGTAATGGAAAGCACTCAACAGTCACCGTCCTCTTTTTCAGCAGAACTGGTTCGGCACATTCATTTCCTCCAAATACTCTTCAATACACCGTTTTAGGCCTTCAAGCAATTACATGATTTTATATGCACTTTAAAGAACCACAAGAAAGCCCAGAATTATAGCAGGAGTTCTGCTGTTGCTTTATTGGTGGTATTTCACACTGTAGAAAGACTGAGTCTGAATCAGTCATAGCTAATGCAAACAAAACTGCTAAACCAATTTCATTAGTTCTGTCAGTGGAACCAGAGGAAGTCGTGAAAACCAATTCATTTCCAACAACCTAAACGTGCAATCAAATCAAAATGTAATTTTCTTGCCATTTTTAAAAACCATTTTTTAAAGTCTTTCCTCATTACTTTATACATAAATATGCAAGAATGAATCCAAAAAAAGAGGAAAAAATAAACAGATGCTATGCAAAATACAGGGAAACTAATCATACATTCTAAACATGAAATATGAAACTCAATGTAAAAAAAAAAAACAACAACATAAAAATTGTTCCTATAAAGACCTGCAAAGAAAACTAAACAAATTCAGCAAAAGCGTAAATATGGGCTGTTTATGCTTAAAGTTTGCGCCGCAGTGTAACAGGGACGTAATAAAACCTAAACTGATCAGTAACGGGGTAATATTTACCCTACGCTTTATTAATTACTCACGCAGGTCATCCGACAGGAAAGATTTTCCATCGCTGTACCTAAAAACTAAAACTGAGGGAATAAACAGCAATGCAACAAATGCAGTGTGTATTTGTCTATACAGTAATGTACATGCAATCACCTGAATCTATAATATACATAAATGATACACTAAACGGCATTTACATGGGAAAGTCGCTTATTTTATTACACAAATATCCAAATATGTATTATTATTCTTATTATGCTTAGAAAACCACTTAAACGCAAGATATTTTCCCAAGTGGTAAAGATGAACACACACATATATATATATATATAATGTTTTGGTTTTTTGTTGTGCAGATGCTCAGTTGTAGATTAATATAAGAGTATATGGGTATGATGAACTAAATATAATAACAATAAATTAATTAATTTAAAACAGCAAAGCATCCTATAAAACAAGCCAAAAATGGTCAAATATTATTTATTTGTAAATTACTATATATAGTGATATGTGATGAAGCGGTGCATAATAATCAGATAAATAATCATAAACTCATTAAAGGAATAGTTCCCCCAAAATGAAAATGTGCTCACCTTCAGGTCATCCAAGATATAGATGAGTTTGTTTCTTCTTCAGATTTGGAGAAATGTAGCATTCCATCACTCGTTCAGCAATCGATGCTCTGCAGTGAATGGGTGCCGTCAGAATGAGAGTCCAAACAGCTGATAAAAACATCACAATAATCCACAAGTAATCCACACCACTCCAGTCCATCAGTTAATGTCTTGAGAAATGAAATGCTCTCCTGTTTCAGACTTTTTCAATGAAGAAAGCAATATTATTGATAGAGGACTCATTTTTTAGCGGGAAGCAACGGTCTGAAGTTAAAAACAGCTTAATGATAGATTTGTTTCTTATAAATACGCAGCTTTTCACTTCTCAAGACATTAACTGATGGACTGGAGTGCTGTGGATTACTTGTGGATTATTGTGATGTTTTTATCAGCTGTTTGGACTCATTCTGACGGCACCCATTCACTGCAGAGCATCCATTGCTGAGCGAGTGATGCGATGCTTCATTTTTCCAAATCTGATGAAGAAACAAACTCATCCTAATCTTGGATGATCTGAGGGTGAGCACATTTTCAGCAAATTTTCATTTCTGGGTGAATTATTTCTTTAAGAATCATTCCTAATGGAGTCAAAGTATGATTAATGTTCACCGTCAGTCAAGAAATCTTTTGGTTGGACTCATTTTCCCCACGTGACCCATGACCCACAAACAGAAACAAGCAAACAAACAAATGATTATCACAATCAACCGAAGTGTTTTAGCTACATCAGAGCTGTGACTGAAACTCCAAATCGTACCAATCCCAGAATTCAGTGCCGCCGGCGATGAGCGTCCGTGTTTGTTAGCAGAGCAGAAGTTGCAGCCCTTTGAATGGTGCGATGAGGACGGAAGCTCAGGGGTTGAATGCATGACGCGTGAGCTGTGTGTAGGCACTTACACAGACAGACAGACACCTGAAGAGTCCCGTGTCCCGTCAGGGCGAGTCCATGCTGAACAGCTCGATGCCCTGAGAGTTCCAGTACAGACCCACTCCAGAGTTAAAGACCAGAGACCAGACGTACGGGATGAAGAAATCCTCGGGCTGCTCCTCCTCCACGTATTTAAACTTCAGCTCCGGAAACTTCTGCAGGAGAAACACGTATCCATTCACTACTGCTGAAATGCTCAAATCAATCAATGCATCCCTACACAAACAACAAAGTGGCCAGCAGGTTGACCTTTTTTTATTGTGTTCAGTCAGTTTATTCATTTGTTTTTAATTGAACTGAATTTTATTTTTTATATTTTTCATTTTAATTGTAATTTTTACATTTTTAGTAGTTTCTTAATATTTCGATTTAGCTCTATATTTCAGTTTTAGTAATTTTAGTACTTCAACAAACTTTTACAAGTGTCAGCTTCTTCCATCTCATTTTTAAATTTCATCTTTATTTTAAATACAATTATTTTTAATATATTTTTATTTAGATTCTTTAGTAATTTTTAGTTAACAATAACAACTGATTCAAATCAAGAGCATTGTGAGAAAGTGACATGAACAGCAACTAAAATATGCAGTATAATTGTATAGTATTTATTCATATTTTGAATGAGCTTGTGTGTGTATATTTTCAGTATTAATTCTAATTTTAGTTTAAGTTTGTCATTTTATGTGCTTATTAATTAATTAATTTCCAACAGAATTTTATTTGTATATTTTCAGTTTGTTTTAGTTTTTTTATATTTCTATTTAGCTTTAATTTTTGTAATAAGCTTATTTTAGTTCAAGTTTTTTAGGTTTAATTTTTCATTTATTATATTTTAATACTTCAACTTATTTTATTTTAGTTTGCTTTTATCTCATATTTGCATTTCATCTTTAATGAACAAAAATAACTTTTTTTTTAAAAGTTTACTTAACAATATCAACACTGACTAACATCAAGAGTGACGAGAACAGCAATAATGCACAATGCAAGTTTTTCTTGTCTGACAAAAATTTCTCATCACCTTGGATCTGACTTGTATTGCGATCAGTTCTGGATTAAATGTTCACTGCATTCCTGCATGGTTTTTAATTCAAATGAAGCAGCTGCAAGAGCAGAAGATGCTTTAAATCTGAATTATTTCACCCAGAAGGTCATAACATGAGCCGGATGAGATGTTCAGAAATAATGCCCTGAAGGCACAAAGATCAGCTCTGAGATAAGACAGTGTAAAGTCAACATCCAGCGTCATTCTCTTACGTAAAATGACTGCAATATACAGTAAATACATTAATAAATGCACTGCTCTGTTGTCTCCTCTGAGGCTGGGACTCTAAACAGTGTTCTGTGCTCGTCTGTGCAGCCAAACACAGAACAGTTAGCCTGTTTTGCTCAAACTTTCTCCATGGCATTAGAGCTGGTACACCGTTGTCGCTTGCAAAATCAAAATAACGGCGCCGTGGGTGTAAACTTACAGATTAAGGGGCGGTAATATTATAATGAGATCGCTTTGCCACGTCACCAAGGGAGCGAAATCAGACGCGCTTGTTTTCTCAGAGGCTTGCAGAAAAAGGCTTCACAAAACAAAGTTACTGGGTTCATCTTTTTCAGGTTTCCTTGGTTGGTAGATGCACCGGGGACACGATTATAGCACTTACAACCTGGAAAAGTCAGATTTTCATGATATGTCACCTTTAAATTAAAATAAAATATAAAATACTATTGTATTGCCCTAATGGAAATCTAATAGCAAAAATGACAAATTTACAAATAAATTCAAAAGAGAATTTGGGTAAATAATAATAATTTTAAAAAATAAACTCTATAAATGTATGAAAGTAATAAATTAAATCAATAATTTTCATATTACATATTTAACATATACACACACACATATATACACACATATATATATATATATATATATATATATATAAGATCTAATGACTTATAGATTGTATACACAGAACTGAATCTATCTATAAATCTACTGTATCTATAAAATTTACATCTATAAAAAGTATAAATAAAAGACAAACAGAAAAAAAACCTAACTTAATAAACTCCATGAAATATTTAATGAAATTAATAAATAAAATAATGATAATAATATAAAATTAAATCTGTAAAATATATAAAATTCACCACAAAATAAAAAAATAAAAATAAAAATAGAACTAAAATTTGTAACCCCAGAAAATATCTTTCAATCACAATCCAATCAGATGCTGGAGGATAAAATCAAGTTCCGCTCCATAATTTCACTATTGAGATTTTGAAGGTTACACCTACAATCCTTCTGCTCTGTTACAAGAGCTCTTGGTGTAGTTTTGACTTGCTAACTATGGCCACTGTTTCTGCTGCTCAGTATCAATGACCGCTGATCCGTCTCGAAACAAACACAACGACTGATTCCTGCCCACAGGAAGCTCTCAAACGTATAGGCTGACTTTTAGGAAGAGCACTTTCTGAAACAGGAAGCTGTCTGTCTGTGGCTGCGGGTAACGCCGTTCACTCTTGGCTTTATTCGCAGTACCACAGAAATCCTCCTTCCGTTCTTTTCAGAGGCCACGGCGGAAAAGAAGCCCAGAAGACATGAAGAAACTCATTTCACTGGAAATTTACAGTTCCCCTGGAGCGATTCTGCAAACAAATGCTGTCATTTCCCATCAGTGTAAAAAAAACAGGAGGCTGCTGACACGTGGCTTTTCAACGGCTGCTGCAATGAGCAACTCTCTGGAAGTCCTTCGTTGCCACAGAACTTTGAGAGTTTGTGGCAGAGAAAGCTTTGTAAAGGTTTACGTTTGTGAAAAAAAAACATATGCAAACTTGACAGCACATGCAAACGTAGCAATTCATACAAACATAATTGTGTGTCTAGTGAGTTTTTTGTGGATTTACATGAATGAATATGTGCTTTGAGACTCAAATACAGGGCACTGGCATTGCAAATGAATTTGAATAAGATTAAATTGCAAAGTGATTTATCACAGCTGATGATCAAATCAGAAACGGACACTTTGTGTGCAAACTGATGCCACAGAAAGGATGTCATCTGATTTATGCATTTCTGCATCAAAATCACTTTCCAGTATAAATCTAAATAACACAGAATTTTCTTCTTTGAAATGTGAATTCAGGCGCTATCATCTAATGAAATCAATCTGAAACATTTCAAGTATGATGGTATCATATACTCATATAAATAAATATTTACAAATAAATGTATAATACATTCATTCATTCATTTTTTCATTAGTATTAGTTTCATGACAATTACGTACATTTCTCTCCAAATTCTCACTGATTTCATTTTTATTTTTTTGTAAATTTGTGATTTATTCTTCATTTGATTTTTTTATGGCAATAAAATGATTTAATTTATAAAATAAAAAATGTGAAATAAATTGTAAAAAATAATTATAAATATTTATCAATATATTTACTATAAAGAAAAAATATAAACATACTATTATATAATTTTAAATTCTATATGTTATAATCAATATACTATTTATAATTATATATAGTGTAATTATATTTACATTATATACAGTATTTATTTAAATATACTATTATATAATTTTAAATTCTATGTTATAATCAATATACTATTTATAATTATATATAATGTAATTATAATATTTAAATTATATACAGTATTTATTTAAATATACTATTATATAATTTTAAATTCTATATGTTATAATCAATATACTATTTATAATTATATATAATGTAATTATAATATTTAAATTATATACAGTATTTATTTAAAGTAAAAACACTATAAATATAACTACATACTATTATAAATCATGGATATTTATTGCCAGCCACAAGTTGTCCGATATTTGGTACTGCCACAAGCAAAGGCATGTGTGTGTGTCCTACCTATTTGCATGTGCTGCTAATTGCACAATTGTGACCCATGCTGGCAAAATGAGTCGGAATGCACACGGGCTAATTTTGAGCTACAGGCAAAAAAAAAGAAGCTTTTTTTTGCGATTTTAGTTGATTTTGAGGTTTTCACAAAAATGAGTACATTAAGCCCTCGTCTAGTGATCCCAATGCTCCAAATAATAATTTTAGATGTTTAATTATCTTTATTTGTACGTTTTCTGAGAGAAGCACCTTTTCTCCGCTCCTTAATATAAATATAAATATACACATATACACAGTATTTAAGTATTGACGCAAGCATAATCTGTCATGTCTTAAGTGAACATTTGGGGAACTGTTGAGGAAAACATCTGATGTGTAACATAATATTAGATCCATGCATTATAGTAGGTCTTAATATATCGGCCATCTCATTAATGTTAATCTGACAATAAAATAATTACTCGTTGCTCTTGATTGAACTGCTTTTGTAGGTTTAATAATCAACTTATTTGGAATGAACACACTAAAGGGATTTTAACATTTTATTTGTTTTTCTTGAAAGTTTTTTTTTAGATGTAAAATGAAAAAGGTAAAGCACTATTTGTTTTGTTTTTTCTTATATTTGTTCTGTGTTTTTTTTTTGCATCTGTTCTTATTTATAATAACAAAGATAAAATAAAAATAGCTATATTGTGACTATTAATACAGTAATTATTTCTGCCTATTTTGAAAGACGCAGTGTTGCAGGTGATTTTACTTTGGAACCTTCAGAAAACTTTAACTCGATTTTTCTCATAATTGACTTTGCTGATTCTATTGACTTCAAACAGGTGTAGCGCAGTCATTTTTTGTCTGATTCCAACAAATCATACACCATTTTCAAATTTTGAAAAATTGCTCATTGTGACTCATTTTGCCAGCATAGGTCACAATTATTCTTTATACGACCCACTCTACAGCCACAAGGTGCATGCAATTCATTAGATTTCACAAGCAAATTAGGACACTTTAAATCAGTCTTGGCCGGGAATAAATGAGAAATCCATGAGCACACCAGCACAATCTGCTTTATTCTCAGAATTAAGCCCAATTTCAGATTTACCATTTAAGGATGGCTTTGCAACACCTTCACACTCTCTGCTCCTCTCTGGTGGAATGAGCTACTGAAACCGTCACAGCTGAAAACGCACATTTACATTGCATTCATGCATTCCTTGGGAATCAAACCCATGATGTTGGCATTGTAAGCGCCATGCTAATGCCACACAACATA